CAGCACCCGGCGCCGCGCAGTGTGGCATGCGTCCGGCTCGACACGCGCTGCCTGGACGGCGACCGGCGTCAGGAGCTGGCCGAGCTCTGCGTCGGCTGGCGGCGGCGTCCGCGCACCGAGCACATCGACCTGGCGCTCTGTCGTGTCACCGAGCTTCCCGAGCCGCCGCCGCCGCCGCGGCAGCCGCCGCAGCCGCCGCCGCCGCAACCGGACGAGGCGCCCCGCAAACGCAGCCGAGCGCCATCCGCGCTGGACCCGACTATGAAAAAGCTGGTGGATCAGGTGCGACTGTCTGTGGGATAGCCACGTCAGGTGCGGGCAGGCGTCTTCTGATTACACATTCTTGATGTCGTGTGGCAAGTTCGCTGCGCTGAGGCGCCAGCAAGAAAGGACGGTTTGAAAGCGGGAAACGTGTTTGTGAACACCACGCCTTGCGCCATTTCTCACCAAGGAAACAGCGTTTAGTTTTACCGTACTCCACTGCATTTCGGCGTTCAATTGTACGATTCAATCGCACAAAACTTGTTCGAATTTTGTAGGTGTACTGAGCATGATGGTCCGAACAAAACGCAGTCGGAAGTTACCTATCACACATAATTGTGCTTATGCGGTGCGTGATGCAACTGTAAATACAATAAGAAGCAGCCAACTACGGCCTTTTTATACCTGTAGGTGGCAGAGTGCTTGGGTAAATAGGGTAAATAGAATCAGAGCTAGCCGAGACCGACGTCTTGCACGCAAATGACGACGTGGTGCTCTTATAACCATCGAGTTTTGCGTTGTTCGTCACACGGAAGCTACAGTGCATCTCTAACTTTTAATTCTTGTTCAGCTTCAGCTGACCTCAATTCTCACCAAGCGGCTGGCGTAGGGCTCACGCCGGCCACCGGACTGGCCCTGCTGTAGCCACGGGTGTCGATATGTATTCTTTTGTGAGGACCCTGCCTCCCTCCCCCCATGTTGAGTTGGCCCCCTCAATGTTTGCTTGCCCCCCCCCCCCCACGCCAATGTTTTTGACTGGAACACTACAAGAAAACCTGGGCAAACAAACGATGATCATAACACAAAGACCATCTTCTTTGATCTTTCTGCGTAGCGGCATCTCGTACCACTCCCATCACAAACAGTTATGGTTGTTCTGACCACCAGATACAAATCGTAACAGCGGAGCAAATAAAAGGTGCTTTTACTTCACATACCTGGCGCCAGAAGACACGCAATGGTTTGCGAGGTTAAAGAGAAAAAAAACTCTGGAACATGGGAATTATCTAAGTCCTTCATAGCTAACCTCGTCCCCGTCCCCACAACCAAAATGTGTGCTGCCTCCCACGACCGCCACATATGAGCACCATCTGCGCCCTAAAGGTGGCCTCTAAAGGGGCGCCTTTACATGCCGATTAGAAGAGACGCGTGCGTTCAGTGCCTGCTCCCTGGATCCAACCCTGCGTGACCTATATGCTGCTTAAATAAAATGCCTTCATAATTTATACAAAGGTTAAAAACATGTCGCGTTTAACCGAAATAAAGTGGGCTAAGACCGGTGAGAAAGAATGGGGGGAGCGTAGGTTGTCGAGCCTTCGGTTCAGCCGCCCACATAATTTACAGAAATTGACACCTCTGGCTGTAGCAGCCGGCCCACTGAATGCCATTTGCAGCAATCCGCTGGGTTATATCTCACGTTTCCTCTAGGTATCACTGTGGATCGGATGCTTAGAATGAGAGATAGGCGGCGCTCAATCTAGAGTGCAAATTTTAGCAGTTGTAGTACGAAATCAGCTTGGGCAACAAAATGAGATGTTTCGTCATTTTAATGGATGAGAGCGCACAGTGCAAGCAGAGTGCACGACACAGCAAAATTCTGGTAACCTCTAAAGATTCCTAGACAATTTTGCGTGGTAATTGAGTGGAAGTTTTTTACAAACATGGCGCACAAGTTTCATTTTCTGGGTCATGACAAACTGAAATAGATTTGTTTGCTTTGGGAGTGGTCCGTGGGTGCAGTTGTTGCGCGGGTGAGGAAGTGGAAATGTGGAAGGAGGTAACGTACTATCAGGAGTTCTGTCGTATATGCGTGTATAAGTCTTTCGGATCTGCTTGCTCTATGCTCATGGAGCATTTCTTTCTGTTTTTCCTCATCATGTGCTTCCAACTCTTCGCATTTTGCATTTTGCATGTCAGTGCCACTGCTACAGCTGACTTGGTGTAGGTGTACTTTCCTACCGAACGTTAGAAAAGATCATTGCACACCATTCGTCGTGATTAAGGCGGCACATCTCGTAAATAATCTCAAAACAGGTAGAATCATGCTCCTACCTTCGAATTTCAACAACTTCGATGGCGGGCTCCCGAGCGCCACGCGCACCGCACCGCCTGGACTCCCCAGCGCCGTTTCCGCGTTGCCGTTGCGTAAATACAATATTTCTGCTTACCAAGAACTCTACAAAATGTACGGGACCAAGGTAAATCATTCGTCGTGTTTAAGGCAGAACATATCGTAAATGCGAACCATAAAACATGTACAGGACCAAGGTAACAATAATAAAGCAACCAAAATTGTTTCTTATCAAGTTTAGGTACATTTATGAAACACACAGGCCAGAATAGTCCAGAAAATGTCATAAACTAGCCTAACCTAACCTAACCTAACCTAACCTAACCTAACCTAACCTAACCTAACCTAACTGAGAATAGACCAGAACCTAAGCTGAGCCAAGCTAAGCTAGCCTGACCTAACCTAATCTAACCTGACCTAACCTAACCTAACCTAACCTAACCTAACCTAACCTATCCTATCCTAACCTAACCTAACCTAACCTAACCTGAGAATAGACCAGAACCTAAGCTTAGCTAAGCTAGCCTACCCTTACCTAACCTAACCTAACCTAACCTAACCTAACCTAACCTAACCTAACCTAACCTAACCTAACCTAACCTCCCCACCCTATATCCCCTTCAACCCAGCATCCCATTGGCATCCATGTTCCATGCCATGTATAGGTGCCATATAGTGAGCTTTTATTTAGCTGCCATGTTCTCATTTTGCTTTACATTCCCCACCCAATCCCCCTGCAACCCATGGTCCCGTTGGCGTCGAGGATCAAATTTCATGGATTCCTGTTACCTTGGCCGGTACATTTTTATGGTTCTTGATGCTGCTTGATGCGCAGTAATGTTGTGACCCGCGCAGTAATGGCGCCGGTGTCGCGGGTGCTGTGTGTGCGGCGCTCGGGAGCTCGCCATCGTAATTATAAAAAATTGAAGGTAAGATCATGAATCTACCTGTTTTGTGATTATTTACGATGTGTCCTGCCTTAAACACGACGAATGGTTTACCTTGGACCCGTACATTTTGTAGAGTTCTTGGTAAGCAGAAATATTGTATTTACGCAACGGCAACGCAGAAACGGCGCTGGGTAGTCGAGGCGGAGGGGTGCGCGCGGCGCTCGGGAGCCCGCCATCGAAGTTATTGAAATTCGAAGGCAGGAGCATGATTCTACCTGTTTTGAGATTATTTACGATATGTCCTGCCTTAAACACGACGAATGGTGTACAATGATTTTTTCTAACAGTTAGGTAGGAAAGTACACCCTGACTGCTTGACTTGGTAGGCATAGATCCAGGGGCATCATATTGTCTATTTCTGTGGGCCTGAGCCCCACCCCCTCCCCATCCATGAATGAAGGTGAGCACAAAGGAATTTTGGACCAAGAAGATATGGAAAATTATATGAAATGTTGGTACATTAGATATCTGAATGCAGCACTTCCATCTTTGTGGTCAATTTGCACCACATCTACACATATTTGCACCACATTGCTTTGGCTACCTTGTATTTTCTCAATACAACTCTGGCATTTTGACCAGTCTGTTAAAGGTGGCAGGATTATCATCAAATTACACCTGGATCAGGAGTCGGAAAAAGGGGTGGGATGGTGCACTGTGCAGTGAGAAAAACTGAGTCTGGAGAACCAGAGGTATTTGGTTTGCATTGCACTGCAAAACACTGTATGACTGATGTTCAGGCAATTCTGGTATGCCCTTCTGCACAAGTTCCAGGGCTTGGCTTGTAAACTATGAAAGGTGAACATTTGATTGTATGGTATTGTAGTACTTTCTCAACAGTTTAAGCTGACATTGTGCATAAATGCAAAATGACCATTGCCACTATTGGTAGCTTGGTGCTCACTGTATCCTTCTGTAAGTATAACCAATGTTACTTCAAGAATGAATAAATGTGTGAAACTACTTCTTTGCTTTACTCATCAACTTCCAATTTGGTGTTTGCATGGATCAATGGATGCTAAAAGCATTGTTCTGCTGGATGCACTGGCTGCATTGAGTTAGTTCCTTTCAGCAGAGTGAAATATTTTCGGCACTGAATATGTGCTCATCAAAGAAATGAATTTGCCTTTGGCTATTTGGTTTAATAAAAGGGTATGTGAAGTTGTTTTATCTTTTAAATGTTCTTTGATGTTAATTGCTTAATCAGGCACCCTTGGCTAGTGATGTTCTTGTGTTTCAAGACTATTACTATAATGTGGATAGCTACCAACTTTTATCATCTCGCAATTTCAGACTGCCCTGAAGTGAGCTCAGTCGCAAGTTTGTTGGCTGCTGAAAGCAACACCTTCTCTGAAGCTAGCAGTGAGGCACTGAGCTGATACCTGCAAATCACCAAGCACCCTATCACTTTGTCAGCTGTTTGCCGGAGTCAGTGCCCTCCTGTCATGACAGACGTGGTTGGGTCGGGCGATGCTGGGGCGCCTCCACTGCCGCCCGCCGACGTGATCGGCTCCTCTCAGTCGATCTCAGAGCGGCAGCGGGAGCTGAACCAGCGGCTGGACGAGCGGCACCGCGAGCGACTGGAGGCGCAGGCGCAGCGGCGCCATGAGCGCGCCGCCGACGCCGTCGAGTCGGAACGCGCCGACCACTTCTGGGCGGCGCTGGAGCGCGAGGAGGCGGCAGCGCGCGCCGAGCTGGCGCTGGCGCCGGACGCCGGACGCGCCGCCATCGGCGACGCCCTGGACGCGGCCAGCCGCCGGCTGCAGGCCGTGCACCGTTTCATCGCCGACGCGGCCGCCTTCCTGCCCGCCTACGAGCTGCGGCGCGCGCAGCAACGCGCCAACGAACTGCAGGAGCACGTGCGACAGCGCCAAGACGAGTTGGTACCGCGCCAGCGGTTCGGTTTCCGCGGCAAGCGCGCGGCCCGCGCCCAGCCAGCGGAGGTGACGACGCAGCCGAAGGCGACCCCGGCGCCGGCCGCGCCGCCGCCGCCGCCGGCCGATGAGTGCGGCTTCCGTGACCGGTCGGACGCGCCGCTGCAGCTGCGCGGCGCCGCCGTCACGGGCCGTGACGTGACGCTGACGTGCCTGACGCGGTGCCGCGTGCGCGTGACGGGCGCGCCGGCTACCGTGCACCTGTCGCACCTGCGCGACTGCCGGCTGCTGCTCGGCCCGGTGGCGACGTCCGTGTTCTTGGAGGACTGCCGCGGCTGCACGCTGGCCGTCGCCTGCCAGCAGCTGCGCGCGCACACCAGCGCCGACTGCGACATCTACCTGCACGTGACGAGCCGCGCCGTGGTGGAGCACTGCGAGCGGCTGCGTTTTGCCCCGTACAGCCTCGGCGGCGAGGACGTGCGCGCGGACTGGGCCACCACCGGTCTGAGCGCCGACAGAAACAGCTGGAATGACGTGGACGACTTCAACTGGCTCTCCAAGGCGCAGCGGTCGCCCAACTGGAGCATCCTCCCTGAGGAGGAGCGCCTCACCAGCTGGGAGGACGGCGAGGAGGACCTGAGTAAGGCGTAGGGCGCCTAGGAGATAATGCTAAAGAGAACGTGCGCTAATTCCGAATCACATCGTGGTGTGTCGTCCTGTTCTTTAGCGTTAATCGGCCTACGGCCGCAATAAATATTGTTTCACAATAAGTCCGTGCTAATGTGGGAGTTGCTGGAAGCAGCGCGACCCGTACCTGCTGCAGTATTCCGGTGCGTGTAAGCGTCTTCTGCGGAGACGGAACCAGGATATTCAACCCCGAGTTATACGTGATCATGCACAGGAAATGATAATAATAGGTATATTCCACAAGACATGATACACCTAAAGAGACAATCATGTATGTCAAGTATTGAGAATGAAGCTGAGTGATAAGTTTACCGGTATATCAAGCAGATAACTGGATATGTGGTTCACTGGACAGGGGGCAAGTGAATAATCAAATGGTGTACATTCCTTGCATGTTAGGTTTAATGCGTACGCAAGGTGTAGAATATCAGGCTACGAGCCGTCGAACCTGTAGTAAAGTCTTCGTAGACTCAGCTCTTGATCAACACAACAGAGCACCACGCACGTTTTACGTTGTGAGCAGGCCTGTAACAGTCTGCGTCCCACCGATGACATCGCGCGGCTGGTTAACAATCCGAGTCGTCGATGTCGATCAGCAGAACGCGCTCCTGAGACGGGTCGGCGGCGGCCCCGCCCGCCTCCGCGCGCGGCTCCGGGTCCGGACGCGCGGCGACGGTGCTCAGGCCTGGCTCCGCTGCCGCCGGCTCGCTTCCCGGGGTGGTGCCAGTGGAGGCCTGCTGGCGGCGGCGGCGTCACTGGTGGGGGACCGCATGCTGGAGCCCCTGCCGCGCTGATGCGGCGGCGCCCGCTCGTGGGCGAGACTGCGCACCAGGCGCTGGACCCTTTCAAAGGCGCTGGAACTACCTCGCGATTTCAGGCGAATTTGCACAACACATCCATAAGCCTGTGCTAAGTTACGTAAGTTGTTCAGGCCATTAGCGAGTAACACTATTCACATAGATGAGGCAGTAGTATTAGCCTCATTCCTCTGATAAAAACCAGGAGAATGGAGATATAGTTGGATTGATATTTCGGTAACATTCATTGGTCTAGATAATGGAAGAAGTGAATGTTCACTTCTGCGACTTACTTCTGCCATTGTTTTGGTAAAGGCATGTTGCCGAAATATCAACCGCATATCTCCATTCTCGTGGTTTTATCCGAGGAATGAGGCTAATACTACTGTCTTATCTAAGTCTGCGCTAAAGGTAAAATAAAACAGGGGATTTGGTTTCCCGTCCCGAAATAGCAGAAAAGTATCGCCCCCCGCTGCGTACCAACGTATATAGTCTGTTTCTTTCCGCGGAGCTGATCAATGAAAGTGCTTGTAGGCACGCCAATTATGACACGAGCTTAGCACACATCGCATCGGCCCTGGCGGCTGGGCAGGCTGAGCCTCGGCTACAGCCGATGGTCACACGACGTGCAGGTCTCGTGCCAAATGATCAACGAGTGCTGTCCTGGCGGGGACAGTGCCAGCTCTGGCGCGCCCGCGGCGGCCCATCACAGTCCCACCTTTGCGTCCACCTCGTCGACGGTGATGTCGGGCACACCAAAGAAGGGGTTGGCCACCGACTTGCCGTCCGGGGTGAGGAGGATGGCGGCGCCGGCCGGCACCTGGGGCACCAGGGATGGGGGCTGATCACTCATTACTCGCTAGTCGTCACTGCCTGCGTGTTGCGCATGCAGTACGTGTGTATGAGATAGCCACAGTTGTGTGAGCGATGCATGCGCCAATGTGCAATGTTGGCATTTGTGGCGTAAGTCTATCATTGGAAAACTTGACGCGAAGAAAGCGAATGTGCACATTTAAGTGCCTCGGACAACGGTGAGAGGCGCTGGACGGGCAGAATATTATCACAACATTAGGAACGTCTTCTGCACTTGATGAACAGTCTGGTCAGTTTGTGTGGAAGCTGTTGGTGAAATTACCCTGATCCCCTCCCTCTGCATCCGTCTCCCTCCGCCCGGTGTCTCCCGATGCGTCCCATTTCTCACATTTTCGTCCTCCACCCTCTGGTCATTGAACATGGGATTGTCGAAGGAGCGGCCGGTGACGGGCGGCGGGCGAGCTGCAGGTGGCGTCGACTGCTCGGATACACCGTGCTCGACGGACGCGCCGGTCTCCGCGGTCTCGATCGATACGGAATCCTGCACCTCCTCCAGCTCGGCCCGCTGCCCCAGCTCCACCTGTTAATAATGGAGACGGGAGCTAGCGCCATCTCTTGGCCGCAGCGGCGAAGTGGCATTTCGTGGTTTTGTTTTCATTACGGTAATGTGCGCACCAGCCACCAACGCATTGCAAACGCGATTAAACTCAGTAGCACAGAAATGCCAACACATTCTTCATTAGAAAGTCTGAGGTTGTCACCAATAACGGTGTGAAAAAAGATAATGGCTTAAGTCTGCTGCCTTCGAAGTTCGGTGTTGCTGGGAACAAGGTTGTGTCAATCCCCTGCATTAAAGACCAGACATGGGCGAACTGCTGGGATCCAAGCGCAGCCACGGCCTTGATGTGTTCCAGTCGGTGCCGAGGGAGCAGGATGTCTTTCAGCTTTTTCCACGCATGTCCCTGGTCTGTTACCAAGATGGTCTTTACTTCAGCGATGGACCGTTGTCTTTCCACTGACACGATCCGCCCTGATCTCTCTTGACACGTAGGTCACGGCCCCTGACCTTCCCCTGACGTGCCGGACGTGACCCCGACCTCCCTGCGATCCGCCGACTCTGACCTCTCCAGACGCGTCGTTCCTGAAGCGGGCGAAGTGGAACCGTGCGCCGGTCGCGTCGCCCAGCCTGCGACGCAGGTCCAGGCTGGGGAGGCGGGCCGCCAGCGCAGCAGCGCGCTCGGCCACGTGCCAGTCGGACGGCGGCGGCAGGTGCACCGGATCACGACAAGGCAGCGGCAGTCTGCGGTCACGTGACGCGTCAGACCGGGCGTCTGGGCTGGGGCCCACGACGGAACTGGAGGCTCTCGTTCTAAACATACACACCTGACTGAATGCAATGCCCAGTTTAGACTGAACAGCCATATAGATTAGTTACGTAGCATGCTCGTTAACATTAGAAGTCAAGCCATTCATGTAGGGCCCTCGACGTTATCCTTCAATGTTGAGTGACGGACCTTGGTTTGGCAGCGCGGGGAGGCATCTGTTCCCAACGATCTTAACATTTACCAAGTAGACAGAAAGAGCCTGTGATACTGTCTGTTCTGATCTACATGCATTCCCACGACCGCCAGCCGGGGACACCACCTATCCACACTGATCTACCCTCGTCCTCCCGATCGCTAGCGCCAGGGGCGCCACCTATCCATCCTGATATCCCTACAACCTTATCATAGCTAGCCGGTGACGCCACCTATCCACACTGATCTATCCTCGTTCTCCCGATCGCTAGCGCCAGGGGCGCCACCTATCCATCCTGATATCCCTACAACCTTATCATAGCTAGCCGGTGACGCCATCCTATCCACACTGATCTATCCTCGTTCTCCCGATCGCTAGCGCAAGGGGCGTCACCTATCATCCTGATACACCTACAACCTTACCACAGCTAGCCGGTGGCGCCACCGCGGGCGACGCGCAGCGTTGGCCCTCCATTGCCTGTCTTTGTACCCATGAGTTTGCATGCGCGGCCTACATGCCGCGGCCTGGCTTGGGGCGCTTGATCCTGCAAGGGCGCTTACCGCTTGGTCCACACGGCGAAGACCAGCAGTCCCGCCAGCAGGAGCAGGATCAGGACGCCGATGACGGCCCCGGAAGCGGATCCGGAGCCGGGGCCGCCAGTCCGCGGCGCGTGGCGTGGTCCCGACGCCTGGATCACCGCTGACTTTACACCATACTCGGCCGAGCCTGTCGGGAAAGCCACGGGGGCGGGATCTCAGCCGACTGCGCACCGCGCTTGCAGAATAACGTGCATGTGCGCGCGCCATAGCACGCGCACACACAGAACAAGACTGAAGCAGGGTCGGAGGGGTCAGGATCACAGTCGACTGTACAGGTCACACAGGTCGACTGTACAGGTCACACATCTGACCGATGTGGTTCGTCGGTTGCTATGGCAAGCAGACCTGCCGTCGGCGCCGGCTCTCTCTCGCGCCTCTCTCTCCGAGAACCTTCACGCGAGCCTCCAACCGTCGCATCGGTGCCGCAGATCCACCTCAACGCTTAACGAGCCTATCTCACCGGTGAGCTTGTCGTACAGGGCGCGCGCGGTGCGGCGGCTGTCCTGCCGGCTCTCCGCCACGTCCACCAGCACCACCTGGATCTGGCGGTCGTGGGTGCGGCTGACGTGCCAGCGCAGCCGCCCCGGTGGCCCGAGCCGCTGCACCAGGTCACTGACCTCGGCGGACCGCAGCCGGCCGTCGGCTGTCGCCCTCACGAACGCCCCTGCGCGCCCGGTGCCGGTCAGGCGAGGTCGTGCAGGAGAAGGCCACGTGGTACAGGGCCGACTGGTGGGGTTCATCACGCGCTGGGTCGCATGCCCCTCGTGTGAAATGCAATGGACCGCGCGTTTTGTTACGCATAATGGATGTGTGCAGTCAGTTGCCATCGCCTGGGGTCGTTTTCCTTGCAATGCGTTCTTTCACTTCTTTCAGAAAGAGAAGCACACTGCCTGCAGAGTAGTACAGTGTAATATCTGTGAAACCATCGACAGGCCAGCAACAGCCGGACAGGATCGAGACCCGCAAAACTATTTGCAATTGTAATCAAAAACATTTTCCGACGCACCGTTAGCCAAAGGTTATCTGTGTTGAGCCGCACATATCATGTGATGTACTCCAACAAGAACAAGTTTGAATGAGCGGTTTGTGGAACACGATGGAAATTTAGTAATCATAGACGTTCACGAAAAATTCGTGCAGCGCCCTGGTTTCTAACCCGGCACACGCCAACTTCCTTGCGGCACCCTTGCTATCCACAAACCGCGCCGCTCCAGATTACGGTTTCATCTGACTGGTGAGTGGACTGACCGCACATCTTGCAGCAGTGCCCGGCTGGCTGGACGGCGTCGCCACACAGTGCCTCGTCACACGTGGTGGCGGCGCAGATCGCAGACAGCACCGCCTGGCGGTCATTGCCGCAAACACAGCCCTGCAACCGAGCAGCAGTTCATGAGCCTAAAGGATGTGTCAAGTACGAGCTTTTACCCGTGCAGCCTCGCATACATAGGTCATTTGCGCTGAATAAGCTCAAGCAGACGAGAGACATACGCTATTCTGGAGTATGACAGACGGGCAGAGCACAAACCAGAACAGATCATAGGGGAGTGCGGAGGGGATCGTGTTTACTAAATGAGCTCGCTCCGGATGGCTCACTTCGGGGTCACACGGCGGCGCGGCCGAGATGCTGAACTTGTCCCGGACGTCGAACAGGGCGCGACCCATGCTGCTGTTGCGGAACGTGCCAAACCTGTCGTTGTTCATCCCCTGCGATTGAGAAGCTGTGCGATCATACCTCGCCTCAGTGGGGGCTGCAGGTGCGCGGTAGGCAGTTGTAGTGGGTACATGTGACTTTAGAGATGGATAAGGGTCTGCAGGCCGTAAAGGTCGAAAGGGTCTGTAGATTACAACAACTACGGTTAAGACGGAACAGCACTGCACAACATCAACTCAAAGACCGCATAATTCATTGTTCAGTTTATCCTTTGATGATGACGCCACGTTTGACCCCGGGTTCCCCTCCCGCGGGCTTCCTCACGTGTGGTCCGATGGTGAGCGCGGTCACGGCGACGGGCCGCTCCACGCGCGCCCGGTACGTCATGTTGTCCGGGAAGAGCACCGCGTCCTGTGGACACGGCACGCGCTCGGCGTGCGGCACCGGCGACGGTAGGGCGGCCTGGTGCCACGAGCTGGCGTCGAACCAGTTGTCACCTGGCGTGCGACGGAAGGCGACTGTGCTGCCACCTGTCGAAATGTGGCGATGAGTGAGTTTGTGGAATGTGCTGGTCCGTGCGTTCAGTACAGTTCCGGACAGTAAAGTCTTAAATTGGGAGACTTTGACCGAGATATACACTCCTTGGAAGTCCACAAACATGCTTGAAATGTAGAATACGTGGTCTCTAACGCTTCACCTGGCACCGCACAGGAAAGAATCTGCAGTATAAAATTTAGCCAGTACATGGGTCTGCTCACCAGCTCCTTTGCAGCGGCTGTCCTTCGGAGCAACGCGATCGGCGAACGCGACGTATGCGCCATTTCCGAGTATCATTTCACCGTTGTTCGGCAAAATCAGTTGTCGCGTCACCATCTTCTGATGAACGTACACCTGTTGGAGGAACGCATTTGGTGGCGGAAAGATGGTGTCATGTCCATGGGATCGAACTAAGAGGCAGCGACATGTCTCAGTGATGCTCTCAGATCTGACGTGACCATGGCGAATCTGAGTCATCCACCCTGTTTCCTCATGCACTACATCGTCCTAGATCCTGGGAACTCCCCGCTTCATTGGCAGAAAGCCGCGACCGTCAGCCATGAGGCGATCCAGCGGCCGGCCTAGCCGGAGTCCCGCCTGAGTAAACGCGTGGGCGCTGAATATGTGGAAGGGTTCAGTGGAAAAGATCTTCCAGATGTTCGCAGGCAATACTCTACCAGTCCTCTCTCATTTTAATCCCATAGGTCTGCACTGGTCAGTGCTGCCGGATAGGTCCCCAACCAAGTCGAACCAAGTTCAAAATCAGCATTAAGTTCCGCGAGCAAGCTATCAATGCCGCAGAGGCTATGCCACCGTGTGTTTGATAAAATAAATAAAAGCAAATCTTCGCGTTACATAAACGTATGAACATAGGACATAATTCGAGCCTAAAAGGGGCCTGGAGGTCATGCGCCTGACCTTCTCCTAAGTACCATTTTAGAAGCATGTGCCTACCAGAAAATGTTGATCTGAAACAAACAAGAGCTAGAACTATTGACAAATTATCAGAATGATTGCACATGCACGGTTGCATCTTTGAGCGGCTATCTATTTTGGTGAGTCCGTTTAAATCACAGTAAGCCGTGGATCAGTCGCCTATCTGACTGTCACTTGCTCGAGCGAAACAGGCGACAAAAGCCTTACGCGTGAACCACGCGTGGAAAAGGCGAGACCGACCTCTGAGCGTATACATTCGACGTTTGAGCGTATACCTTCACGAGCTATCTGGCGCACGGTGTACGACAATTGCAGACCGCATTCGCATAACTCTACAATGTGACTTGGTTGCTTCCTCCGAAAATTTCTCCCTACGCCCTAAAAAAATCCCCCTACGCCCCAATTCACGCACCGCGTGTGCGCCGCGAGAAATCAACGCACTGCTTTTAGCCGACGCGCTCCACAATGCCAATTATCATCATCAATCTGTGGATGATTGATCGAACAATGATCATAGTGGCCAAACGTCTATAAATCACCTTACAAACGCTCTTACATATTCTGATAGACATCCGCCCCTTTTCTGTTGACGCCCTTCACATTTCATTTCGTAATTGGTGAAAGATGCGTTAAATGTTACGCTGGGTGACGTTACGCAACTGTGGCGCGCGGCGTATCTATCTGCCACTGACCACATGGTACTTTTCAATGTGCAAGTACGGTGATCCCGGCAGTACTACAATCCCGGGGCAATGCGCCGATTGCAACTGCAATCCCGGGCCAATGCGCCGACCCCAGCGGATGGGAGCATTCATAGAAACGTGAATTCGGGATCGCTGGGCATTCATACGGAGACCCTCTTGGCCTGGTGCGCTCTGACAGATGGGCACTTGGCGCCATTACCCTGCTCGGTGCATACGCTTCTACGAAATGTAAGCCCGGCCCAGGAATCGCTGACTCTTCGGCGGGTCCTTGTGATCCCTGGCCTTTTTCTATGTTTATATTATTAAAACCATGGTTTTTATGTAATGTACCATAATGAAAAGAGCGTTCTGCAGCATTGTTGAGATTACGTGCGCGTACCTGATTTCAGAACTGTTATATGTCATGTACTCCATTCGTACCTGCGTCGTATCGTACTAACGAGCATGCCTAACCTATAACTCTGTCGCTAATGTGTGGCGTTCAGTGGCGTGCCGGCCCTTGCCTGGTGTTTTTCTACGCATCCCATTAAACAGTCCGCAAGAAAAGAGTAGATTATTGAATACCGTGCAGCCTGAATTTCCGTTCGATGAGGCAGGACGCGTCATAGTCAGGTTCATGTTTCTACGTCAATATTTTTATCTTACAAGGTTTATGTGCTGTGTGCAGCTTGGGGGCGACTGTAAAACGTTCACGAGTTCAATCAAAATTTGCTTCACGATGGACTAAATGCGTCAAAAATGCGTCACTCAATGACTCCTCGCAGGTAGCGATGGAGAGAGACTTACGCGTCACATAGGCAAGGGTTTCTCACAGGTAGAGTGTAGTGCTGTGACCCGATGAGAAATTTCAGCGGGCCGACGAGTGATTTCGGCATAGTTCAGTGACGATAGAGAATATGTGGGGGGGGGGGGGGGGAGTATGTGCCAATGCCGCGGTGAGCCTTACACCAGGTGGCTTCTATTTACTGGGGGACAAATTACGCGGTTTGCGCGGTGTATGGCTGTGCCCGCTCAAAGTGAGAGGGTCCGATCGTTGAACATGACGTACAGATTGTGCGTCAGACGCCAATCCATGGACCTCTCTTAATATGGCCAGTAAACAATCATGCATGAGACGGTGTGAGTGTGTGAATGTCAGTTGCGGAATTTCGGCAAGTGGCGTTTACTGTCCAGCATGTTAGGGCGAACGCATCTTTTTCGTACAAGTCCATACATTGTCGGAGAGTCAATGTTTTCGCCATCATTTGCGGTCGCTCCCAGTTGGCCGGTCTATGACAGGGAATTGCCTCGCTGCTGGGTACCCGCGAGTTGATACAGTGAGTCGGCTACCCAATAGCCGCGATTAACAGCGGCGTGCATGATTAATCCAAGCAAATATGAGTTTTTATTTTTTTTCAAATGGATTGCTCCCAAGCAGCGCCCCTTCGGTGAGGTTGGTTATTAGTGAGTAACAGTCGCTATCTCTTGGCTATTATTAACCCGAGGTGGCCGTCTTCAATGCCAGAATGATAGGCCGGAGATGCCACCCGGTTTGAGGAGCTGACGCGTCGTGAAGCCCCAGTGACAGGATAAGTACGGGCGGCAAAATGAGGGCAAAATGCCACCAGTCTTTACGACATGCACAGCTGAACTCAATATAAATTACAAAATGTGGGTATTCCGACAAAGTGGCGCTACTACCTTGCTGATTATCATTTGAAAAATGTGCTTAAAACACACATTACACTACGTTATGTAATGCTACGTTACTTCAGAAAAACCATACAGGAACTTCAACGACATTACTAAGTCAGTCACGGCGCTTTTTGCTTTTATGCAAACTTGGCTATGCGAATCGCGGAATTGCCGGTTGTATCGGTGGCGAATCCGTCGCGTGATCATGATTATACTGATGAGAAATGGGAAGCCTTTGCTCCTAGTTACGCGGACGGCAAAAATAATGTAGAAGAAAACAACTATATGCAAAAATATCGCACGTCATATAATGGTAGCCAGCATGAGGGATGTCGCCAAGAGTTACAGTTAAAGCAAGAACATGTAATAAAACACAGAAACAAACGAAATAGGCAAAACTGGAAACATGTTTAAATCCAATCAAAATTGAAATCGTAAAAAACGCTAATGCTAGGCGCAAACTGTGCATGTTTTACTGGAAGTGTGGAAGCTGGTTCATGCATGGAGTGCCAACGCCGATCGATACCTCCTGCAAGAGCGTTGATAATTCTAGCGTTCAGCATACATTGAATTCAAAATGTATTTGTATGTTTTGTTTTTGCTCCAGGCGACAAGACAGTGATGAAAGCCGCTTTTCAAGAAATTGCAGAAATCGTCCCGATGAAACATGCAGGGCCGCATTGTAAGGATTTTCTTCGTGAGGGCTACAAAAATGAGATAATCGACTTGGCATGAGGGAGGAAATATTCATCTCAATATTTGTTAAGCATACCAGCTATAAGGAATGACATCAATTTTGCTGAACATTATGGTACTTTCGGACAGCGACAACAGTCAGCCCCCTTGCTGTCTGTTTATTAGCTGACCTCAGTGGTGTATCATAAGAAAGAAACCACCAGAAGGAAGGCCCATTTTTTCAACATTGACAAAGCGGTTACCTGCCTAGCTGCGATAGAGCTCATTCATATCAACGCGTATGATATCTTGCGGCCGGCTGCCGACCCTTGCGCAGGCTCATTCTGGTGATAATTAAGTGTTTGTGCCACTAGAGCACATGAACTTGCTAACGTGATGGCATAGAAGCTGCTGTAATCATTCGTATGGTTCTATACATTAGCGGGAAGATGACGGCAGCGACACTCCTATGCTGCATTGCACACTAAGGACAAGTAGCTTTCATGGCTTTGGAAATGATTTAGATGTTGTTAAAGGCATCTGACATTGTATGTCGTATATACGCCGTCCGTGGCAGGAGCTTGGTCAAAAAAGGGACTAAACTGGGAACTTTGAGCTCTGCCGTAGAGACTAAAATGGGAACTTTGAACTCTGCCGCGGAGACTAAAATGAAAACTGAGCTCTGCCGTGGAGACTAAAATGGGAGCTGAGCCCTGCCGTGGAGACTAAAATGAGAACTTTGATCTCTGTCGTGCTCAGTTTTGGTCCAGTGTGAAGCCAGCATTTATATCTGCTGCGAGGCACGCCTGGCAGGGGCAGTGTCCACGGTTACCTCATATGGCGCGGTGGAAGCGACTCAAACGAAACTCGGACAGACAAAAGGCTATGCTCGCTCTGCTGCACTTCACCAGTGTGTCTCAAACTTATCAACAAGAGATGCCAGTGGAGACTGAAGCGTATTTACCATAGCCCCGAAGGAGAACGAAATTCACAGAAACTTCAGGCTATGCAAAGAATGAAGTCCAAAGGTACGAAAAGGGGTTTAAAAAATAAGGGCCGTAAATCGTGCGTAAATCACGTCATTTTCCACGACCAATTCTCAATTTGAATTGCTGCGTGCCACTTGAGGCTCGCGTGCTGATAGTATGTGTGGGGCACCATCGACGGATTTTTCTGAGAATCGCGAAAGTGAGGCTGCCGGCTCGGCCGGTTCGCCCTCGATTCCCGGAGATCTGAACCTCGACCCATGAAGTTGATCGCCAGTGGCGAGGGATGTCGTACTCCGCGGAGATCCAGCGCCTCGCGTTGATTGGCGTTCTCGGCGGCGACGGTCGTTCGCTCTGACACCCTGACACCCACCCTGCAACGGGTCTCGCTTCTTCTCACACAGTCAACAGAGACAACACAACACAGACAACGACAAAACGATGCTCACCGCCAGTGCCTGGTTGGCGGAGAAGAGGGCCACCTGTCCGGCGCATGGGGTGCGCGCTCCTGCCCAGTTGGAGGCCGTGTCCACATTCAAGTCTCGACCCCAGGACTTGAGCGAGGCGGCGGTGGGGCCCGCGGCCAGCACTGCGTGCAACACACGTGTCACGAAGCTGTGATGACTTTGAAGTAGTGGTCTTTGACTTGCGGACACCTAACTGGGCCGGGATGAATGTTACATGACCATGTGTTGAGTTGTTTTCACTGTCTGCTGTGGTTTAAGAGCGCTGTCACTCAAGTATCTCATAAATGACCAATGACGTCACTACATCTACGGACTTATACCCATGATGGGCAAGTACCGTCACCGAACGAGCCCGGAATTCATTGTGCTGCATTATGTAAGCCGTTCACGATGTTTTGCGACGCTAAGATGGGCTTGTAAAACGGTCCAGAAAGGTTAAGAGGAACCAGTCATAAAACCGCATACGGTCGACCGTACATATCAACTAGCTGGAAATACTCTAGGCGGAGGGACCCAACGGCAGACACACGAACTGTAGGACACGAGCATTCCCCAGTGACGGCGAGAGACGGCAACAGGCACAGCCATATAAATGCCCAATGACCTGTTGGAGTTCCCCTCCAATGACCAAAATAGTTTGTTGGGCTCCTTTCGCTCAAACCTAATGCTTCAGTCACCTGAACTAAGCAGGAAGAGCACGGCGGAGCACGACATCTCACTGGGAGCACGGGGGCACCGTCACCGAGTTAACCACGCCGTTCCACACTGCACCGTGCCCCCTCCCCTCCTACCCAACTCGCCACAGCGTGAAATGCGAGCTGCTGGGCGGAAGCGGACACGCCGCGGTCGGTCGGACCGCGAGCCGGTATGAGCGGGGCGGACGAGCGCGGCCGTTACTGACACTCGTCGTCCGCAGGTCTCTGTCGGACTTGATCCATGCTGCAATACGCAGGTTGTCATGGATCAATTCTTTGCGATGGTTTCGAGTCAAAAGGAGCCATTTGGCGCATATCCCGCAAATGACGCTGTGAATTACGACTCTTTGATGCGTTGTGACGATTCAAAAGGCCTTTTTTGGAAGCATCAGTAAGATCATACCGCACGCAACGAAAATGCTTAAGTCACAGTTTATATACCAAATATGCAGGCGTTCGTATGCTCGTTCTGCTAACATCAAATGTTTCTGGCGTTTTATCACAATCTCAATTACTGTGCTCCATAATGATTGTTACAAACTGACGCGCGAGGACGCGCTTTGTTGTGACAGCAGCGTGAGTAAGAAAGTGAGGGTAAGCACCCAACACTGTTCTCCATATCACTACCAGCTGTTATGTCACGGGCTCGGTCGGCGCTTACGCCAGCCCTTTTGGCGAGCTAGCGATGGCGTCAACAGGCCCGCTGCTGGTTTATGGGGTGTTTTTGTACATACGTCAACGTCAAATTATACATACAATGAATGTGCAATCACACATCTGCAGGCAGAACACGTCAGCCCGTTGGCCTCAGGTAGCTCGCTGAACAGCAAGGACGGACGCGAGTACGGTCGCCCGGGCGAAACCCCTGTTACGTGACCTGTGGTGACCTGTGGGCGAGGTCACGCAGGGGTCGCGCCGCGGTCGCGCTGGACGGCCACCAGACAGACCGACGAACAGGCGGATGCGATTCCGCCCAGCTCCGGAGTGTTGGGTCCGCCATCGCCACCGGGTGTGCCTGTGCCGATGCAGGACAGGGTGGATGACTATGTAATGAACAGCGACCAAGACCTAACCTTGGAGTCACGGCGGCACGTCTTCTTCCTACTTGCAAGAAACAGCCTCTGAAAATGTCAAGCTTCTGCTAGGCTACATGTTTTGTAAACACAGTTCTGGCCCCGGTCGTATATTCTCAGTGGAGACAGCCACAGTGGCATTTGCGGCAGGTTTTGGGTCGGCGCTGTCGGCCATAAATCTGACTGAAACGTCATGGCGGACTTCCAAGAAATATGCCTAATTTATACAGCGACGGCATCAGAGGCCCAGCGCTATTTGTCCGTTGAAAAGAAGCAAAGAGCAAAACTTCAGGCAATCGCCGAGACCATAGCAAGACCTCCTTCCACCACTTTACCATACCAAGTTCTAAATCAAGTACTAATCCGACCTCCGCACGAACATCTGGGTGTTCGGAACGCGTCGCGTCGTCGAATCCGGCGTCCACCCCGAGAAGCGAGAGGCGGTGGGCCGGTCGTGCTCAGTCCTGGTGGCACGGCGCGGCGTGGGGCCTAACAAGCGGCGACCGCTCTGTTTCCACTCTGTGGCCTGGCGACGCGTGGCTAGGGCCAGTGCTTCGAGTGCACGCCCAACCCGCGGGTTTAAGCGGCGTAACCAAGCGAGGAATTGGCTGTTTTTGCATCATGAGGGGAGCTGCCAACTGCTGTCGGTAACTCTGCGGTTTGTCTCCAACTCGGTTCTGACAGCCGTCTTCATAATTCTCTGAAGATCACCCGAATGTTTGCACTGCACTCCACGTTTTTCTCCATGTCAGTACATGTGCCACGCTAGTTATCATCGACAGCACTTACACGCAACGTAGCCTAGTACGGAAATTTGCCAGGTCTCCGAATGGGTTTGTTCATTGCTCGCCCTGTGCGAGAATTGTACCACGCATGTACCATGTATATACCACGCTTATAAGCAACAGTGTATTGCCAAAATTTGGAGATATATGTGTTGGCGCATATATATATATATATATATATATATATATATATATATATATATATATATATACTGGGAATTTATATATATATATATATATATATATGTAAGTTTTGTTTAAGACCTTGGCGTAGGTGCCTTTCTCATGTTTCTTTCCGCACTTGCTCTAGTTTTGTGATTGCGGTCGTCTGTTCATTATTGAGACTAAAACGTGACTTGTCGATGTTTGGAATCCTTTGGTTAGCCTGACGTTTAGGAATTACATACTCCATTTTCAAAGCTACACACATACAATATACAAGCAACGAATATATGATTACATGTTACAGTTAGGTATGATCTATTCGGTGGTCGCATCTCGGTTGGACCACCCCACACACACCGGCGAACTGCCGCACACAACGCCGACAGAGAAAGACCCGTAGCAAGTACTAATCCGTCCGCGCGCGCAAGAACTTGTAGAGCAAATATAAGTCCTTAACTGGGAATTTTTCTTCAGCCACAGCATATATATATATATATATATATATATATATATATATGTATACGCGCCCGAACAGCACCCCTTATACTGCTTCCAAGGCTCATACCCGCAACACGATCTGCGCGCGACTGGCCGGCGCCACCGTGACGCACCGCCCCGAGCCGTGATTGTTCTCCTCACTTAGACATGAGTCATCGCCCCACTCGCTTTACATGCTGACACACTGACCCGGGGCATGGTCCACCGCTACATATGACCAAAAAGGTGTAATAATTAGGCATAATAAAGTTCAGTTCGATCGTCAAATAATATAGTCTAAATAAGGTGGTAAACATTTTTAGGCGCATAGGAATTCAAGCGGCAAAGTACGTGCTGAATAATACGATATACCATCTTCTGATGGTATCGATCGTCTCTAAATAGGGTGAAGGGTGAATGAGGGGCTGGTTAGTCCGTTCAGTTACGGTGACGATGTCTTAATCGTGACAGCCTGCAGAACATGAACCCGCTGCGCCCGATCATTTCACAGTGCCCGACGCCAGCTTACCAACTGGTCAAGCAACTCAACTGCCTTAGCGCACCCTACACTCCTATGAAATATGGCCTAAAGCCAACGGACCAGTTCTCGGACATCCTAAAAAGCACGCAGTCTTCTGGCTTATCAGCATCACTGAACGGTGAGGGTTTATTTGCAAACGTGCCGGTATGACAGACGATAAAAATCCTACTTGAAAGCATGTATCACTATCCAGCCATCCGTCCTCCTGAAGCTCAATCCCTCCCTTCTGGAGAATTTCCTGCGAGCATGTACGACAGAGGCACCAGCTCATGGACTAGACGGCGAGCTCTATCGATAAAAGAATAGAATGGTCACGGGGCTCCTCCTGAGACCGCTTTTTGCCAACGCTTACATAGGCCAAGTGGAAGACAAACTCTTTTAAAATGCATCCCTCCGTCCCGCACTTTACGCACGATATGTCGATGACATTTCCGTAGACATCAGCGACGAAAGCCAGCTGATCGACGTCAGTGACAAAAACCATCTGATCAAACTAAAAAATGCAATGGAATAAACTTCCGTTCTCCGATTCACCTGCGAACTAAGCGTCAATAACCGCATTTCATTTTTAGACACATATATCACTGCTGACCAAGAACGATTCGTGGTAACAGTGCACAAAAAGCCAACAATGTTTAAAGCCAAAGCAGGGTTTAAGAGGCTTTTCGGAGATAGGGGTGCATTTTGACGATTGAAATCACATGCTCCTTTAAATGTCAACCAATGAAGTTAGACTTTACAGTTTGACGAGCAAACTGAACTTGATTGTACTTTATTGTTATACTTTGCCGGTTATACCTGACTGTAGCATGTAAACATATATTCGTCGCTTGTATGATGTGTGTGTGCACATTTCAAAATGGAAGGCGTAATTTCGAAATGTCACCGCTACCAAAAGATGCCAAACATCGGTGAGTTGCTTTTTAGTCTCAATAATGAACAGATAACCGTTATCAGAAAACCGGAGCAAGTGCTTATTGCACTCATAAAGGCTTATTAAATGCGCCTACGCTAAGGTTTTTTACATCACTTGCATACAAGACAATATGTGCCTAAACATACCAATATATATATATATATATATATATATATATATATATATATATATATATATATATATATATATATATGCATATATATATATACATATATATATATATTGGTATGTTTGGGCACATGTTGTCTTGTATTGTATATATATATATATATATATATATATATATATATATATATATATATATATATATAGGCTGTGGCTGGAGAAAAATTCCCAGTTAAGGACTTACACTTGCTCTACAAGTTCAGGGAAGGATTAAGACGAGGTAGATTGGCATGACGATGGAATAATTGTTCGGACTATCTTCTTCGTTTTCGCTGCTAGTTGCACGACGCTCTTGTCGCCAGGTGTTATTGAGTACCGAGGAGGACTGGACTATGTTTGACTATCAGCCTTTTATACGTTACAACGCAAATTTTCCGCCTGGAATTGCTGGAAGCGGCACCAGGATTTCCTTGGATGCGAGTTCAGTTCTCTACCAGCTGATTTTGTCTTTCCGGGTTAGCTCAGATGGTAGGGCACTAGACTCGCGATCAAGGAAATCCTGGCTTTCATCGCAACAATTCCAATTAAGGAATTCCGGTTGCGACCCACACACGGCTGGTAGACAAGTATAATCCGGTCCTTCTCAGAATCCCATAACAAGTTACCACGGCCGGAGGATTACTGGCCGAAACGTCGTGTATTTGACCAGCTAGGCGAGAATGACATTCCGAAACATTATTCCATCCGTGAATTCCAACGTTTGCAATAACAGCATTGGCAGTCATTTAATTTTTTCCTCCCCGTAGGACCGTAAGGCACGTCTCACTGCCAGGTCCCCGACGAGGTCTCTGGTCAGGTCAAGGTCTCCAAACCTGGGTCTTGCCTGGAAGAAGTTCGGGAGCTCAGATCGTTCCATCAACTTGACCGCCTTGGATGGTGGGTTCAGGGCCTCCACAACAATATCTGCTTTGTAAAACGTATGGCAAGCCCTTCCAAAGATATTGTAAACTGAAAACCTATCTTCCTTCCGTGAAGATTTTCAGGTAACCAGATTTGTTCACAAAAGGTAAAAGTTACAATTTCTCCAATGCGGTCGTGGCGCAGCAGTTACAAATAAGCTCATCAAAACAAGGGCATGAGCCAAGGTTTGGTGAAAAACACTGGTCGTAATTAACGCGAGGACCCAGGGACCGCCAGGGCTTCTTCGGACCTTGGTGCTTCTTCGCGGTTGTGGACTTCCCTGTGTAGCTCAGCTAAAAAGTTCGCTACTCACATGTTCTGCAAATGGACAGGTAGGCCTTGATCTTTATGAATGTGAAAGGTACTTTGCTGTGGTTGGAAGGGTCATGTGGCTTATTCTGCTCGTATGAGCTGTCATTTCAATCATTAGCTCCATGTTTCACTAAGTACCGCTGTTTAAACATAAACAAGAACAAACCCATAACTTTCTAAAGTAAACAGTGAGTTTACAGGGGGTAACTTGTCATCAGAAATGTTCTGAGTGGGTCTGTGGGGAACATTCTGGGTAACCAGGAGCCTAAATATGGTTGAAACAAATTTATGAATCACAGCATGTGAAGGAAAATGGTGAGTTCATATATTATTTCTAAGATCTATACAGTGCTGTATAAGCTGTCTGTTCGGTGTTGGGCCCGAAGTTGTTGGTTGTGTTTAAAAGGTGTTCACGTTCCTAAATTATTTGTGCATTTATGGTCAGCTGTGGCACTCTGTAGTAGTGGAACTCTGACACTGTAGGAATATAAGTTCCTACTGCTGACAATTTTTTATTTATTATGATCACATTAAGTGGAAACATGAAAATGATATTGATGTCTGTTAACTTTGGTCTGATGATGAAGCTATTGAGTATTTCCACACTTGCAATTCATCAGAAAGTGAAGTGGTCAAATATATTTCAATGCTTCCAGTAGTGCAAATTGAGTTGTGAAAGGTGCTGGGATGAGCATGTCAATCATTGAAGGTGTTGATGTGAGATGTGTTTTAGCTTTAGTTAAGCTTGAACTGCAGATGTACCAAAGGATTTTGAACTTTGCAAGGGGTATCAATAAATAAATTGTGTGGCTTCTTTGTATAAGCACAATACTTGCTTTGCAAGTGGATTCTCAGGTTAGCCTGCAAGTGTTTATGCAAAGTCATTCAGCTATGAAAGAATGCATGATAACATCATATTTGGGAAGCTGCAATGAAATGATTGGCAAGCAGCAAAAGTGCAGGATAGTGTATCTGTATTGTGTATGGTTGCACTGGAATTTTGTCATAGATAGAGCATTTATTAAAATTTTTAAATGAGATGAAGCATCATATAGAGCATCTCCATTTTAGGTTTCTACATGGAAAAATAGATGGTTACACAATAACATGGCAAATATTTGCTATGAAGGAAGCTGTCCAGAACTTAAGGTGTTGTTTTGTAGTGCATAGGCAGTGCTGTCAGTGGCCTGTCAGGTGCCAGACTTGGCACTGGTCACTATTCACATGCTCATGGGGAGTAAGTTGGTCAAACAAAAACCAAATGAAGAAAAGCTGATGACCCTATCCACCTCTCTGGGGCTTCTAGACTGCACCACTTGCCTTGCTGCCCATCTCAGACATGACCTCTCCTCGACTCGATCCCTGACCATCGCTGCTTTGCCGGCCAGGAAGCGGCGCCAGTGCATGGTGTGCCGCCAACCGACGACGGGCGAGCGGCGCTGCTCGGCGCTGGACGGCCGCACGCGAGCCGGCCACCTGCTGGCCGACACGGCGCTGCGCTGTCAGCTGCCGGTGCCGGCCAGCGCGCGCGCCGCCGTCTGCTCCTCCTGCTGGGAGCGTCTGAGCCGCGCCGACGAGCTGGCCGACGCGGCGCAGCGGCTCACCGCCGAGCTGGAGGTGCGCGTCTGGGCCAGTCGGCAGGGCGCCGACGCCGCCGCCGCCGGCGCGCCCGGCGGGCGCTGCGCCGCCTGCCGCGATCGCAGCGCCCCTGGCGGTCCGCTGCCGCGGCGCGTCCGTCTGCTGGTCGGCGTCCGTCGGTGCCGTCGATGCCACCGATGAGACTATGCGGCTGTGCGCCGAGTGTGGCCGCCTGTGCCGGCGGGCGGCGCACGCCGCGCGCACCGAGGAGCGGCTGCGACGGGCGGTGGCCGAGCTGGCACAGCGCCGCGCTCACGACGACGACGAGCGGCAGCGGGATGGCGTCAAGTGCAAACGGGTGGGTGCCCTGCCGTGTGCAGCTCCGATCGATTCCGATGCCTGGTGCTGGTCTTTTTTAAGGGCGGTCAGGTGAATGTCGGCTTTTGATGTTGGGTGCGTTCGCTTTTTGGCGTCCATGTTCCAGATCGCAGCAGCTACTTCGTGGTGTAGTTCCTCAGATTCCTTTGTCGTGGACAGAGTGTTTTGTTATGCACATCTTAAAATTCCAGTAGAATGTTCGCAGCACGTACTAGGCTAATGGGCATCTTTGTAAATGACGGCACACACATTGAAAATAGCCTGCATTTGAAAACATGGTTCCCAAAACAGAAGTCGTCGGCACGCATGGGCTGGTGCATGCTGGTCGGCGGTCCGATAAAAATTGTAATGCACCCTAAAGATCCTGACAGGCATTTGGGGCAGCTCCCATTCTTCCTATAACAGGGCGCGAACTAGCTGCTGCATGTTCTTTTATGCTTACCGCGTGAACTCTGTGGTAATCGTGTTAGCATTCACATCCCATTTGTCATGTAAAATAAACGTCGAAAGTTGAATGTTGTAAGTTGTACTTTTAGTTAGCTTGGAATTGTGGGTGATTGCCTGCTCGAGGTGTGCTGCTGAAGCTTCTCGACGCATCGCACCTGGCCACGTACATAGCGATCACACTAAAGATCCGCGTTTGTTGCTGTATTATGTTGGCTTTTAGAATATTTAGACCTTTGTTTTTTCAGGTATTGCTGGTTTCTCCAAAAAGTCCCACCGCAGGTAAGTGCCGTTTGCCATGATATGCGCCGTGTACGTGCGATGTTGAAATGATGTGACATAATTTCAGCAGGCACTGCGCGTGTGAGTTGCCTTCCACGTTGAGATTGCGGATTGTATGATGAAGAAGTGGAGCTTCCTAACGAATTTCGGGGTCGGGAAGAACTGGTGTGTGACACTAAAGAGGCTGATCTGCTAGTGCGATCTGTTTTGCACATGCCGAAACCGCGTCAGAATGGCACGCCCTGGAGGGGAGAGGAAAGTAAACCTTCCGCCTCATCGACCTCCTGCTGCTCTCGCCGCACCAACGGAACGCCAGGATCACCACATTTTCATAGAATAGCGCTGGGGGGAGGGGGAGGGGGGGATTTCTTGATTCCCAGGTGATAGCAGTCATGTGCCAAGTGTGTGAGGGCCAATGTCCAAACAAACAACCAATCAGAAATCGTCGATCTGCAATTACCTCGAAGCTTTTAATACACAAAACATCAATGTGTTGAATTATCTGTAATGACCAACTGTTACGCAACCGATGCAGTCATCAGGGGGGTAGGGGGGGACAGCCCATCGTCAGTGGGGCTTTACGATGCACTCGGCGAAAGGCCTTCGTTCAAGACGCTGATCGATCGCGCTAGTTCTCAAATTGCCGTTTATGCCCGCGTGCTATACCTATCTCGATCTCAAAGGGCGAGTCAAACAGGTCAAGCAGTCAAGCTGCAAATATTTGTTTAGCATTATGCACCCAGCGGGATGGGCCGGGAGGTCCTGGCCTAGCCTGATGACTGCTGTGAAATGAAGGTCGATCCTGCATTCAATGACTGTGATGTTGGCAAGGTGTTACATTAAGCAGTGGCCAGGTCGGATCTGGCAAGATGTCAAAATCGCCTGTAAAATATGTCGGTGTGGATACCGAATTTTTTTTACAAAGCCTTGAGGGAGAACGAAATCAGCGGGAAATTGCATCGATGTGTGAATGGGAGACCGAATTACAAAAGGAGTGAAACACTTTGAGCCCAAAATCGTCCGTGAATGGTGTCCTTTGCTGCAGACAATTTGTTTTCATTTGGACGCACTAGAGTCGGGACGCAGGGCATTTGGCACGGAGTGGTTAACACGCGTGCTCATTGCGTTTACTTACAGACTCGACACGTGTGGTACCCTCCGTCGGTACTCATCGAGCATATTAACAGGGGTCGGTCTGCTAAAGACCTGTTATCGGGGCAAAATGTTATCGGCAATCGATGTGCCGGAAAACTCCAGCAGTCTGCCTATCTGCTAAAGAACGAAGTTTGCTAAGTGGCCACGCGGTCATCTGAGGTCAGGCATGCATGTTTTTGTCAGTCAGGCATGTCAGGCATTTTCGCGATGTTGGATTACTTTCCTTTCCTTCCGTTCTTCTCGCGTTCTTCTGCGGAAGCCGGCCCCATCCTGCACGTAGCGGGCGCCCGGCCGAAGCCGGCCCCATCCATCCTCCGACAGAGGGGTAACGACGTGGCCGGATAGGGGTCGAAGGTCGAACTGAGTGGGGGATCCGCCCACTGTCTGGCCCCCTAAGAATGAGACGCCGGGAGAAGACGCTGTCCCGCGGGCGCGGACCTCCATTCCAGGGCAGCTGCGTCACGTCGCCGGCGCCGGCTGTGAAGTTAGTCAGCGTTGGCAGTGACTGAGGGTTTTAGATATGCCAAGCTGGGATTAGAAATGCTGTTGGTCCATGTGGCTAGTTACCCTTGTTTTTGTGTCTTTTTTTCTTGTGGGTGGATACACCAAAGTTAGTTCTCTTGCTTCTTCTGGATTTGGCGGTATTTAACCATCTTTAAAGTTCTTGGAGTATTTACACGTTATTCGATAACAGGGACAAACATCGATGGAGGGCCGAAGCTTTCTAAGTAGACGCTCCATCTAAGATATGATCTAGTGAACTCTTCTTCCCGCCCGCGTCCTTCCCAAACGCACGCTCTTACTGCATTGCTTAGATAAATTACTATTTATTGCGTGATCCAACACTCTGTTTCGAAGTCTCTAGGTCGTTGTTTTCCTGTCCGCATGCTTGCCACTGATCCCCAGCGTGGCCAGAACGTTTCAAAGCCAGTGAAGAAGATCAGCTGGAGAAATGTGGTAGCGTCTGCCACGGATCCGCGCGAGCGGCATTCCTGTGACCTGCAGCTTACCGCCCTCTCCCAGACAGGCGCTTAAAGCGATCGCTTCCCGTCTCGAAAACCGGCGTTGGGCATGTCCAGGCACATTTGTGACTTACTGGGTTTTCACACTGATGCTGATGGCATTTGCTTTGGCTGCACGATGAATTCACGTGTGTCGGTAGCTGTTAATGCACCCGCTGGGATGCCGGGGATTGTGGTGAAACGGATCGGCTACATGTAGTAAATATAGAAGATGTGAGGGATAAAGGTATGTGTTTAGCAGCCTACCATACAATACGTTTCACATGGAGGAGAGAGGGGGCGTGATGGAGCATGACCGAAGCGTGACAAGGCGGATGGAGGTTAGGAGGGGAGGGAGGGAGGGGGGGGGAAGCGTTACGTTACGCTTAGACGTCATGGTGCTCGGGTTTTTTTTAATAGGTTAAAAATTAGAACCGTATGCTGTTAGATGCCTAGCATGATAAGCAGCACGCCCGTAAGTATTCTAAGAATGTGCCCGCCTTTTTTGCCCCTTTCGCCCAACAGACGCCAAACGGACGCTACGTTTTTCACTGCATAATCAAGGGAATTTCGCCCAGCGTGACCGTTGCGTAAACAGCGGAGAGAAAGCTTGAAAAATGGCCAGAGATGCTTTAACAAAATTTATGGGCGGCCTGTTAGCCATTTTGAAGAAGGGAGAAGGCGGGGCATTTAGCTCGCGATTTTGCGACTACGGGTTTTCATCCCTCCCTGTTTTCGTTGCAACATAGATATGTTTCACAAGTCCCAGCCCAAAGCATCATTAGGGTGAGGCAGTCCTTTAGGTTCTGCATTGTCCTCCCGGCCAACTTGGAATCGTTGTTTCACCCATCGATAATTGTAGAGATAAGGGAGGGTTGGGAACATGCTGAGAAGAGCTCGTGAGCCGCAGGTGCTAAGCCTAAGTTTTCTGTGTGAAGGGAAAAGGGTAAGGGCTACGCAGTTAGGGCTAATGGTATATGCACCACGTGGGTGATGCGAATGCGAGTGCGTGAAAATTTTCGTTTTCGTTGTGACGTACTGGTTTGGTGCTTGTCGTTTATTATCCATGGCTGTATTTACGGTATCGCCAAGGGATTTGTCTACTCATTCACTTGGAAATGAATTGGATTGAATCTCAGGAATGTATTTGCATTGCGTTACTGAGAACTTTGCAAATCGCACCCTCGCATTAAGTGTCATATTACATGGACAAAAGGCTCAGCACGCTGCCATGATCGCAGCCGGCATGATTTTACAAGTGGATGTTGAATATTGCTCCAAAGCAGGTTCTACATTATGGTGTGCTACGTGTTCCATGCTCACAATCACGCTTCGCGGGAAGGTGTAGGGCCGAGAACACAAAACACACCGCTCCGCCATCAACCTGCTGGGTTACATGTACTCGAAAGCATCTTATAAGCGTAAAGAAATTAAGCATCTGTTTTTTGTTGAGAGGTAGCGGACCGAGGGGTGCACAGGTGGTGATTTCGTGCACGGGAGCTGTGAGGGGGTCTTCGGCGCAGTCGCCGTCGACCATTTAACATTCGGGCTTCAGTGATTTATTATAGGGCTAGGCGCCCACGGGTGCTTTGCTTTGTCCAAAACGAATTCTTTCACCGGATAACAATACAAGAAACAAAACTCCGCAACAAACGTATGTCCTTCGAACCCGTAGAGGGTTGCTGTGCCCGGACACAGCGGCCTCTTGCATCTGCAAATGCAGAATAGTTTCGGAAGGCCGGCGCTGCATTCCAGCGGTGCGTCACCGCTTCACTGGGGCGTACGTGGGCTTCAGATGTCCGGACAAGCGGAGCGGAGGCCCGGGGCGCGAAGAAACGGCGATATGTAAAGAGCGTGTGGTAGGTGACTGTTTTGGGCAGGGGCTGGGTTGAGACAACGCGACAATGTGGACGGCTTCAAACGGCCCGTACTGAGTACGTGCCTTGTGAGGTTATCGAAGCGCGTGGAAGTGGGTATAGGGATTCTGAAGAAGTATTCCCAGGGGTAGTGGAGTCTCCAAGGCCTAGGAAAGGTCCTTCACAATTCGTAAATGGAACTCGGATTCACGAAAACACTGTCATTCTGAAAGGGACGTAGAACCCCAACGAAAACGCCTGGAGTGTACGCCAAGGTCTTAAATGTATGGTTAGAGCCATCTATTTGTGAAGCTCTATAGAGCTCAGAATGGACATTTAAGCTTCATAGCGGTACCCTCGAGTTGGCGGTAGCGCGGCAAGGGTTTAAAACGTCAGGGAACCGCGCCGGTAGTGCGTGACCTTACGCGATGGATTTCGGCATATGTGCCGTGCCGTGTGGCAGTGCCGCATGACACGGATCCTCAGGCAAGGAGATTTCCGTAGGACTAAGAATAGGTATGGGCCAAAAAATGGGTTGGAGCTGAAACTTTGTCCGTCTTAATGGATGTGTATCATTCTGTCTTATATCATGCACGTTCCGAGAGAGAAGCGTCTGGACGAATGAGTTTGATAAACCATCTGAGTGTTTTTAAGGATAGGTAAGAGCAGGCTTTTGAAGGTTTCTTGTCTAGTTAATTACGTTGAAACATGTGCTATTACCTCGTGATTCATGCGACTCTTTTCTCTTTTTGTCAGGTATTTTTTATTTATATTGAAAACGTTCTTGCGATAAAACTGAAGTGGTAACCTGATTCCTCGTGGAAAAACCAGGGGGGTGGAGAGGTAGGTGCGTTGATATTTCGGCCACATGCCTTTATCGAAATGAATTCAAACGCCAACCTTGCTTCAAAGAGCCTGTTGAGTTTCCCATCCCCAAACATTCGCTTACGTTAAGTTCCGTGAAAACCTGATATTCGTTTCGATAAAGGCATGTTGCCTGAATATCAATGCGTCTATCTCTCCACTCTCCTGGCTTTTCCACGAGGAATAAGTGTATTACTACTGTCTTATCTATAAGCATAATGCTCCTTGCAAATGCACTTAACATCTCAAAACCTTGTGACGTTTGATTTCAACAAAGGACTTGCGGGAAGGAAAGATACGTCTATGTATGGCAGCGCTGTTGCCTGTGAGTTACGGCAAATTCAGCTGGACAAGACTCCTGACACGATTTCTGTTCTCCATCTTTGCAGGCGGTGGAATGTACCGAATGTTATGTAATCGTTGCTGTATCCGCCTGGTTAACACGGCTGACCTCGAATGTCGGGGATCTGTGGTGACCTCGAATGTCGGGGATCTGTGGCGTGGTGTGATGTGGCTCCCGTAGGCTCACTGTACACCTCTCCGCGTGTAAGACATCACCAACATGTGATGTCTGTCGCTGCAAATTTCTGGTCGGAGCAAATTGTATGCCTCCAGTTGCGCTTTATAAGAACATAGTTTTGTCTTCGGAAATGGTTTTGTAAGGATACTGATAGTGTACTGATTGACGTGTCTGCGTTAACCACTGCACGTCTGGGGAACCAGAGGTGCGGGGTTTGATTCCCTGCGGTGCCCGCACTGTCTGCCAGGGTGAGAGGCAGGCGACACCATATAGCCTGAACAGCTGGGTGCATCGTAAAGCCTCGATGATCGATGAACTGGTTTTATACGGAGAGGCTTTTTTCGTTTCGCCCCGTGCTGTTCTCAGAAACGTCTGTATATGACCTTAGCACAGACTGTTACCTGTATGTATGACTGCGTTAACACAGTTGTAGTCGACCTCGTGCAGCTTTTTAGGAAAACAATGCAGGGGATCAGGGCAGGTTTGATGTGTAGCTAAGCACACATATGTGCTCCTAGTTTCCAAAAACTCGTGACATAAGCGGAGTTAGTCTCCGCGCACTACGCGAAGGCTGAATACACAACGAGCTGACTACGGAAGCATTATCTTAGCAACCACAAACCTGCTCAGGTGCGACAAAACACGCGGGCTGTTTGCTATGCCACCCGACGCCGGCTGAGTCGGAGCATGGCCGTGAGGGTGACACTTGCCGGCGTCTCGCTTCGCTCACCCAGCCAGGGACCTGCATTCCTGTGCGCTGCTATTCCCAGAAGTGACCGGCCTTTCCAGTCAGCCGGCGGTGTGAAAATGCTCCGCCGCTGCTGCGCCTTGGAGCAGAGCTCAGACAATGTTGGATTGGCGCCAGAGGATTCCACTGAGGCGGGCTGCCGCCCAGTCCAATCGCTTATCCTCCGGAGCGCCTCCTACATGCATGCTAGGTGATGCATAGGGGTATGCACAGTATGGCGGCGATGCTCGGTTCTGAGAATGCTTCAGATGGGGCGTCTCGGCGGGCTGCGAGCCGCGCGTGGCGTGCTGGACGACCGCAATCAGCGGATTCGCCCGCCTGAGAGTCACGCATACCGGCTGGACCCTGATGCGCCGTCGGTAGTCCTTGGTTGCGAGGCATCAGTGACGGGGATGTCTTCAGACCTGGCTGTTTTCCGCAGAAGGGTGTTCGTTTTTTATGTGTTTTATATGATTTGCGAGTGACTTGTACGGATTGCCGTAAATGCCCCCGCCATTTTGTGGTTCTGTGTTTGTCAGGAAGTTGTGATTAGTGACATTTTATCAATCTCACTGGCTTTCTTTCTAGTAATGGCGTCCATCCGAAGCACGTGTCTACCAAGTCAACAGCTCTGTAATTGTGACATGAAATTATTGATCTCTGCATGCCATTCTTGGGCTCAGTAATTTGTTATGTTCCAATTTGGTCCCGCCCACTTTTCCTTACAGCCCGTTGAGTTTCTCATCACTTAAAATCCGTCTACGGCGAAGATTTGACGAAAATTCTGTTAAATTCCGTGGAATCTTGAGTGTTGGGCGGCGACCTTGATCTGGCGGTGCGCGACGCTCGACTACCTTGACCATACGGGGGGCGACTTTCAGCGACGGTGGCTTAACGGGACGCGACGCTTGGCGACCGTGACCTGACGGGGGCGACCTTGGCTCACGGGGCGCGACGTTCGGCGACCGTGGCCTGACGGGGCGCGACGCTCTGCGACCGTGGCCTGACGGTTGTGTGGTGCTCGACGGCCGTGATCACAGCTGATCGTGAGCGGCCGCTGTCGCCCGTCCGCAGTCCATTCCGCCCTATGATCACATCTGATCGTGAGCAGCCGCTGTCGCCCGCCCGTAGTTTATTCCGCCCTATGATCACATCTGATCGTGAGCGGCCGCTGTCGCCCCGCCCGTAGTTTATTCCGCCCTATGATCACAGCTGATCGTGAGCGGCCGCTGTCGCTCGCCCGCAGTCCATTCCGCCCTATGATCACAGCTGATCGTGAGCGGCCGCTGTCGCCCGTTTGCAGTCCATTCCGCGCTATGATCACAGCTGATCGTGAGCAGCCGCTGACGCCCGCCCGCAATTCATTTCGGACCGAAGCGAACAGCGTGTGCGTGAATCGATTCGCGCCCGCCCCGCCCCGCCGCGGAAACGCTGTGCTGCAGAGGCTCTAACCGGTTGTGCTATGGGGGCGGATTATACGTTGCGGATATGGGCATTTCAGCGCGATAAATCCGCGGGAAGGCCGGTAACGGCGCCGCATGGCACTTCGCAGCCAGGCACAGCAAGGTCACCGTCGTCAACAAACATCTCCCTGAGGTTTGTGATCATGTGACCCATCCTTTCTGTTGGTAAACACACGTAGGTATTGAAGGTGATGCGGAAAACAGCTACTGATTTGCCAGACGCATACAAACAACCGAAGCGGTGCGCCGAGCTTGGTTTATTTGGGACTGTCACCTCCCGTCCGCTCCACCGCCGATGTCTGTGTCCCCGATGTGCACCCCAAATAGCCCAGAAGGTGGATAAAGAAGCGATCGTGCTGTCCGGACGTGACCTTCTCCGCTCCCCTCCCCTCCAGTAAACCGCATGACGCAGCGCGTCCGACGATCAACGAGGAGCATGTCTCCTGCCGGGGATTTATGGCCGCCACTGGCCAGCGCGCCCGCGCGGCGCCGAACGCCCGATGACGTCACGCCCCCGTCCGGCAGACGCTGAGGTCGGCGTTGGGGAGTCGCCGCGACCCCGGCTGGGCGTGACTCCGCTGCAGCTGCCGCCAGCTGCCAGCGACGCCTGGGCCGGCCAGGCACGGCGCGCGCAGCTGGCGCTCTGTCGCCTGCCGCCGACGGCGACGTTTGTGGCACTGCTGGCGCAAGAGCTGCGCGGGCTGGCGACGAACGACTCTCCAGCTGCATGCGAAGGGGAGGCTCTGTAGTGGTAGGGTAGGGGAGGTCGGCGGTGGGGTTGGGCGGAGTTGGAAGGGCCGTGGGAGTCGGTGAGTGCCCGATGTGGTACAAACGTATAGTTACGCGCAGTGCAAGGATGTCTCAAGTGCGTCGTTAGGTTATTCGCGTTGGCGTCCCTGCGCAATGACTTGGTCCTGGCCTCGACTCGGGTAGGCATGTAGTTCGAAATGATTTGATTTGTCGCCTCGCGCTTTGGAGCTGTTATCTTTACATTCTGTTCGTGTTTCCTATTTATTTTATGCATTCCGCTTATATTTCCTTTGTTCCCTATTCGCTGTCGCTGCGTGACAAAGATAAGTGGACACGGGATGGCAGGCCCCGACCGTAAAACAACTTAGCGGCAGCCCCGTGGCGTTATGTGGCACAACACAGGTTCATGAAGGTTAAAAAGACGCTCCTGCTCGCTCCCATAGCTTTTTGTGATTTTTCACGCGCATCAACTTGGCGGCTAGTTTTCGCGCGATTCATCCGTGTCGTCAATTATCCGTCCCCAGGTCGAGGATGTATCTAGCTGTGCATTACCAGTTCTCTGCAGGTGTCAAATAATTAGTCTGTTTTGCGTGTGCCATGGTGGAATTTCGGAGCCAACTGTCCCTAAACTGATGCTGCGTTGGCTCCCGTCGGGAGTTGTGTGAAATGTACCGATACCCATCGCTGTGGTCCCTATCGTTTTTTACCTCCGCATGACCATCTGAAGCGTGCCGTGCCGTATGGATCCAATTTGCGTTACAAGGTATTTTGCACACTGCGGACGGTGTTGTCTCGAATGAACTGTTTTTTGCGCAGTGCTTCTGTGATAGCTAATGCTCGTAAACTGAAAGCGCATTTTGACTTGACAATACTCATCTGATGTGTCAAGCAAGCGCACCATTGCCCAGTTGACCCGTGCGTGGGTTGCCGTGTTTTGTGTGAACAGTACAGAGTACTGAATGACCAGTAATTTTCATGATTTTGCAGTGTAAATTCCTGTGCGTTATTTTTGTGAGGGCAAAGGCTCTGGCATGTCTGTTAGGAGCTGCTTGTGCCACAAACCCTGGGATTTCATGAAGGTTCTATCCAAGACGCTTACTACATGACGCTCAATAAAGATGACGTTCAGACGTATCCGATGATCTTCCGGGAACGGCGCGGGGTTTGCACGCTGGCCTGCTCTTAATGCGCCCATGGCGCCTTCTAGGCCGGCACTGCAGGCACTGCTGGCGGAAGCCCGGATGTGTGACCCATGCCTTTATGGCATCTGATGCCAGAAGAGAACGTGCTCTTGGTAAAAAAAAAAACGGAACGTAATATAGTCTGTCACGGCGGAAGGCTGCTGTCACGAGGCACTCACGAGCCTCGAGCGCAGAGTGAGATGCCTTTCACTGGCACACAGAGTCGTGTACATGCGTATTGCTGTGATAATTTTGGCTCCATGTTGAAAGCCAACATGAGCTCGGTGATGATGTCCCTTGTTCCAAATTCCTTGTCCTCGGACTCCTTCTCCAACACGCGCCGCACGCAATCAAGTGTTGGTCTACCGGGAACGAGTACCTGGGAAACCAAGGACGTATTCATCAGGGCTCATCCAGCAGCGTGTCATTGGTGGCTCCTGCCCATTTGCACCAATCTATCAGGACATCAAACGCCGCAGTCCTGTGGTGAGTGGTACCGCCGAGGACATTCTTTAACATTGATGATTGAATTTATGGGCGATAAAACCACGGAAGTATTACATTTTTACAAAGCTCACTCATAAATGGGGCAACGCAAGAAGCCTCTGCGTCGCGACGACTGCCTGACTTCGAGCATGTGTGTGGGGAGGGGGGATCGAACGTCCTTCTCGGTGCCCGAATGCGTGCGGTGATAGCATGCGATAAACCCTTCCCGCACTTAAAACGGGAATATGTTGGGACGAATTCCCAAAACCATCCCATCAGTGGCATCAAAATGCTTAGGTGCTGTGTCTGTCGCCGTAATGCGGCCTGGTTTCCTTTGCCGTCAGAACATTGCAGGGGCGTAGTTTGGCAGAATGAGTTCGGAGCGGGCTGAACAGTGAAAAAATGACTCACCATGACCCAAAAGTACGCCAACAAACGGGCTACTCCCCGAATTTGACTCGCATTCCTCAAAGTTGGGGGCCTAGATCCAAAGTTGGGAGAGTGGCTGAAGACCCCCCCCCCCCCCCCCCACCCCGCCCGCCGCCTCCCCAACTGAGTAAGGAAACTACTCCCCTGTGACGTTGGCGAATGAGTGGTTTAACAATTTTCGGCTTGTCTCAGTGCCACCCCTAAATAATTTTACCTGCGGGCTAGCTTATCCCACGAGGCTGAAGCATTCCATAAATTAATTGTCACTTGTCGGCTGGCAAAAGACAATCGTTTGTCAACCGTTAAGATGTTTTGCGACAAAACACCGCAATAAATCATTCTGTGCAACGCTTCTGCCCCCTGGGGACACAATTTTGTCCTGATTGTGGGCGTTAGATGGCTCAACACGCACTCGGTTCAGGTTGACCCCCGAGGGTTTTTCGGGATAGTTTGCGAACGGCGCGGCTAAGCCGCGTCAAATTTTGCATAGCTGTTGACGATTGAATAGCCGATTGTGTGCTTTCAAAAAATGGGATGCACCTTGTAAGGTCCCTGACCTGCGGCAGTTCAAAGTCAGACTATGGATTCAGCAAAGTCAGTTTCTGGGGAATCGCTCAATCTGATGGAGCAACAGAGTGTTGACCAAATCCATACATCTCCGAGAGGCTTTCTTAGGCAATACAGCAAGCAAATGACCACATTCTATCGACCTAGTGTCACGCATGAAGGTCAGATCAAGGTCAAAACCAACCTGTTTTATTACTCAAAGTTTCCTGTATGGGGTAGTTTCTGAGCTCATTTTGAATTCACTGGTGACAGGAACCGCATGAAACATCTTCTGTGGGCTACTTTGAGGTCAGAATAGTTCACTGATTTAAAATGACACAGGTTAACATTTCGCTTTTAGAGAACATACTGCCTAGCGTAATCTTTGTCGCTTATTCAAATGCAAAACTCAAGGCGGTCTTCTATGATTATGCCACCATGACCTACGAAATTGCAAACACGGTCACTGACCTTAAATGTGCATCAGATTTTTTGTTTGGAACAGGTGTCTAAGCTCTGTGTGCGCTATGTAGACCAACTTGAAGTATGACCTTATTTGACCATATTTGACCCGAAGGCCATGACCTACGATTCTCAAAATTTGACTTATGTGAGTTCACGTGCAGGCCAACACACCTTGTGAATTTTGTGTCTCTATCTCTCTTAGTTCCTGAGATCTCAGGGTAGGGGGTCAAACTGAACCCCCATCCGTGCGAAGGGTATCCAACCGGCCACCCGGGCGCGTGTTAATGGGAATCCCTTTAGCTAACGTGTTGGGAAAGGGCCCAACATGTTTTGACATTCCTGTTCTCTTATTCGTGAGTCTCAAAAGTGTGAGGACTATGTTTGCGCTTTCGAGCAAGTATTTGTCTACTTGGGCGATACTCCTTGGGACTCATTTGAAGGTGCTGCAACTCGTGAATAGCAAAATCAAATTTTAGTTGTGAAATGTCCGACCGTTCACTGTCACGTCCATCCAATGTTAATGGCCATCGAGATGCACCTTGTCTTGATAGCGTTCCGCTAAGTGTTTCTCGTCGTCATAAAGACCCAGGTACGCTTTGAAAGAAAAATTAAATCCTCAAATAAAAGGTCTGTGCTCCTGATCGTCCCGGCTGTTCCTGGCTGGATTGTGGGCTTGACATTCGCCATTCCTTGGCTCACTTTATATACTCTGTAGGTTCTTTGGATGTCCATAGAACGTTTGCTACAGACTGAACCCACGCAGCAGAAGGTAGGTTTGCAAAGCCAGCTGATAGTGGCTGAGCCAAGTTAACACGCGTCCGGGTGGCCGCCTAGGTACCCTTTGCTCCGGTGGGGGTCACTTTGACCCTCTGATATCTCAGGAACTAAGAAAGCTAGAGATACTAAATTTATAGGGTGTGTTGACCTGTACTTGAACCCACTCAGGTCAAAGTTTCAGATTCCTGGGTTATGACCTTCGGGTCAAAAAAGTTCAAACAAGGTCAAGTTTCAGGTTAGTCTCCAAAGTGCCCCCAGAACCTAAATAAGAGTTTCTGAGCAAAACGTCGCATTCCCATTCAAGGTCAGTGACCTTGTTTAACTTTTTGAAGGTCAGGGTGACCAAAATCATGCAAGATTGCTTTGAGCTTTGCATTTGACTAAGCGACAAAGGTTACGCTTGGCAGTATGTAAAACAAAATGCTGACCATGGTTATTTTGGTCAATGACCTATTCTGACCCCTTAGAAGTCCATGGAAGATATATGATGCAGTTCCTGCTACTAATGAACTTGAAATGAGCACCAGAAACTATCCCATACAGCAAGCCCTATAGTAACAAAACAGGTTGGTTTTGACCTTGGTGTGACCTTCATATCTGACCTTTGGTCAATGTAATTTTCTCATTCAACTGTTGTGTTGCCTAAGAAGGCATTTCAGATATGTATGACTTCGTCTAACACTCCGTTGTTGGATAAGATTGAAGGATTTCTAAGAAATTACCTTCGCTGAAACCATGGTCTGACTTTGATCTGTCATGGGTCAGTGACCTTACTAGGTACGTCTAAATTTTTGGTGACAAGCGATCCGCTATTTAATTGTCTACAGCCATGCAAAGTTTGGCGTAGCTACGCTGCGCCGTTCGTTAACCATTCTGGAAAAACCTTTGAGGGGTCAATTTGACTCCCATCCGAGCGCGTGTTAAACGAACTAAATCTAGCCTAGTTTTTACCCCCAAAATTACTGATTTTACCTACCTTTCTTCGGGGCTACGGGGACGACCGCAAAGTTACCGGGAGGGGCGAAGCCGCTCCAGCCACTTCAACTGAATGCGAGGGTGCGCCTTCCTATGCTACAGATATCCCGGTGTTCAAGAGACCACGAAACGGTGGTTAAGCCTATTCCGATGGAGTATCATATTTGCGTTAATTTGTGGCGGCAGATCCTGTCCCCCCCCCCCTACCACCACCACCACGAAGTGTCTTGAAAGGTGCGTCCAATTTTAATGGGATGCACCAAAATAGATTTGAAGCCAGAAGATTCGGAACATTCAATGTAAGACATGAGCAAGTAAAAACACTTGGAGATCTTTGATGTTTTTTAAGGTCTTCATCCTCGTCTGAAACAGCCAACTTATATCAAAGTATTTTTATCTCTCAAGTTCCAATATGAAGTAAGATATCACAAAGATGTCCAAGCTGTTCCATGAGCGCCGAAAAGAGAGATGTTTATATGGGAGTTTATGAATTTTTGTTTATTTCTAATTATGCAAACTTCACACACATGCTTTGCCAGCTAAGCTGTAAAGCGTCCTTTATTTCGCAGGGACAGACTAGGTAAACAAGAGGGTTACCATAAGCGTAAATGTTCTTTGTCAAACCTCTTCATCTACTGGATCGAAAGTGCGCTTTGCAAAATTGTGCAGTGATCGTCTATCCCTTTACCTGCATTATTGAATGTACTTACGTTTCCTAATTTCGTGCTGGGCTAACGCCATGTTTTAAGCAGGGGCGGACTTATTTTCGCGTGTAGAAGAGGTGTGATGGTGTCTATGCAATTCAATGTCAAATGTCAATGTCAAAATATTGACTATGCAATACGTGTCATTTGATGGGCAAAAGAGAAAGCACTAGCTTCACATCACAGAGTGCTCTTACATGGCAGATTTGCTTACTCCCAGAGATACGCTCCTAGACATACATTCA